CTTTTGGAAGAATATAGTATGTCGCTTCGGCCTACCTCGGGTGCTTATCTCTGACAACGGTAAGCAGTTTGAAGATATCAAATTTCAGAACTGGTGTGCCAAGATGGGGATACAGCAGAACTTCACTTCGGTAGCACACCCTCAGGAAAACGGGTAGGCGGAAGTCCGTGGGCTAAAAGCTCGCTTAGCCCGAGCTAAGGGTCTATGGGTAGACAAGCTATCCAATGTACTTTAGGCTTACCGAACCACTATCAAGACCGCCATAGGTGAAACCCCCTTCAACCACACCTACAACACAGAAGCAATAATCCCAGCCGAGATCGAAGTACCTACATTACGCCTAGAGGCATACGACAAAGAAGCAAACGATGACGAGCTCCGTACTAACCTCGACCTGGTGGAAGAAGTACGGGACCTCACATATATTCAGACCGCAACCTACCAACAAAGAGTGGCTCGGTACTATAACGCCCAGGTCAAGAAGCGGCACTTCAGTGTCGGAGACTTGGTCATTCGGAAAGTTATGGTGCCTGAGCCTGGTGTTGGTAAGCTCAGACCAAATTGGGAAGGTCCCTACCGAGTAAAGCGGATACTTGGGGAAGGTACGTACGAACTCGAAACCTTAAAAGGAAAACAGGTACCTCGAGCTTGGAACATCAACAATTTAAGGCGATACTACCTGTGATCGTCGTACTGGGGAGCGGATTGTGAGCCACTCCCGGAAATCCAAGGACTAAAGCGCCAAACTAATAAAAGACTTCGGCACCGCATAAGTCACAGTCACCTTTTTGGCATGGGCAAAATCCAGGAGTGGACTACAAGTCGCTCCCAGAGCCTAAGGGCTAAAATACCACATAAGACCCAATCGCCTCCTTGGCATGGACATATAAGTCCTAGTCGCCTCTTTGGCATAGGCAAATTACCCCTAATGCCTAAGGCCTAGACAGCTCGGATATAAGCCCTACGATGTCTAGTCCGCCTCAGCATATAACAACAGGTCGGACTCATAAGGGACAACAGGCATTTAAATGAGTAGCCCCTACTAAATAAAAAGTTTGGGGTAACGAACACTTAGAAAATTCTTTACTTTGGTTACCCCGCGGTGTCGCTCACCTCAGCGTACACTATGTAAAATTGCCCCTACTAAGTAGACAGTTCGGGGTAGCAAACACTTAGAGAATTTTTTACTTTGGTTATCCTTACTTGTTGTTCAGCTCGGTAGCTCGACAATTCGGGTAACCTATACATTTGTTGCCCAGATCGGAAGTTATTTGTTGTCCAGATTGGAAGTTCGTATTTTCATTGATGAAAAATGGAAGTACAGAGATTTCATCGTAACCCGAGCTCAGTGGCCTCGGGGTGTACATTCAAAACACAAAAAGAAGAAAAAGTCAGAATCACGTAGAAGGACTGCCAACCGGATAGGTCTCCATGTGCTCTCCCACATCCTCTTGACCCGAGGTCTTGGTTCGCCGCTTTCGCCACCCTAGAGGCAAGGCCAAACATAGTGATGGCTCCGAGGTCAAGGTCGGGGAACTTCTGCCAAACTAGGTACTTGCACAGCTTGAAGCCGGAGCGGTAGGAGCTCGAACCATATTCAACTTGGAGATTGTGGAACTCCGAGGATTCCTTAAAGCGCTCGATGGCATGGCTTCTCTCTTCAGCCCGCGCCTCTTGGATGGCGGTCTCGAAGATTTTGGTTCGCTCTTGTACCATCGCTTCGAGGTTTTCGACTTCTCATTGAAGCCTCGCCTTCTCCTTGGTCATTGCCGAGATCAGCTCTTGTTGCTTCGATCTCTCCTCAATCAGCACAGCTGCTTTGCCTTCTCGTCAGTCAGAGCCAAGATTAACTACTTTTGGCTGTCAGCTCCCTTCTTAACCCGAAGCACCTCTTCCCGAGCTATAGCCAGATCACCTCCAGCAGGGAGTAGCCAGATTGCGCTACATCAGGTTCAATCACTGGTTCGTTTTTAAAAACCATAATTTGCACTTGGCACGTTGTCCTCTAGCCATTTACATAGATATTAAATCTGCTCATATATTCTTGCTGGATAGTTGGATGAGACTTACTTGGCAAAAGTGGCAGATTATGGTGGGTCGTTCCATTAAATCAGACACCGTGAACTACATTAATGCAGGGGGCATTGGGTTACTGGTTACATGGACTATAAAAATTTTCGCACAAGTCAATTAACAGAGAAATTAAAAGTGATGTTTATATCCTTGGTAGAAGTATTAATTAGAAGAAAAGTACTGGAAATTCATAAACCCAAAACGAAAGGAAGAAAAAAAAAGAATGAAACAATGTCTCAGAAATTTTGGGGGATAGAGCTAAATTAATGTAGCAATGATCAACTCCAAGAAGTTGCTTAGCTTGTAAATAGATGCCTAACGCTATGTTCGATTTTAAGGAAAAGGTAGGAAAAAGGAAAGAAAAGACAGAAAAACTAATACAAGATTTCTAAAGATTTTCCTACATTTTCTTTCAAATCAAACATAGTCTAAGAGTAAAGGTAGAGGAAAGCCCCCACAATGAAGTATCTATGACAAGACACCAACTTTTCATTATTGCAACACTATTGGCTATGATAATTTGGATCATGTTAACACAAACCTTTTAGGCCACAGCCAAACCCAATCCCCAACACACGAAATATACAGCCTTACCTTAACCACCACCATCGAACCCAATCAATTCTACACCTTGTAATCCACCCAACAGCATCTTATAAAACAGAAACAGAGCACATCACCCTGCTACACAGCTCCATTCCTTCCTTGGCTCCCCCTCCTCCAGCCTCTACTACTTCTAGAGAGACCAATCTTCCCCTTGGTTACCACATCAATACCGTATATCATATCTAAAAAAAAAGAAAAAGAAAAAAAAATAAAGAAAATACTATATAGTGCCGATTGTTAATTTTAAGTCAGATTTCTTGTTCACTTCTTCCTCCTCTCTTTTCCTCCACTTAAATCAGGCCACCTGTCCCTATCCATCTGTCAATATATTTTACCTCTCTACTAAACACCGATCGATTTTGTCCATTCGTGATTGGTTATATAGCTGTTATACACGTCTGTATTTGCAAATCAGATTTCCAGCCCATCATTCTCTACCCACATTCTATATAGCCTTGAATTGTATTCACATATCGCCATTTTGTATTGTAAGATAATGTACTGTGGATATGGTGCAGATAGAGAAAATGAATACGAAACTATATTTTGTAGTAAATTCCCACTTTTGTTTATTTGAAAGAAGCCTGTTAACAATACATTCAATGGCTCAGAAAGAACCAGCTACAATATATAGAAGATCCAAGGAAATCAGGAACTGACCATGTGTGAGAACGGTTTAATGTAATATCAGGTTTTGCAAGCGTATATGCCACGAAATTCGCTGATCTGGGAACATATCTGACTGAGAAACTCGGCAGGTGAATGAGAGAACTTCTATAATCAACAATCACTGTATGAAGATGCCACAGTGGTTAAGAGTGTACCACAAACTAAGAGTGTCAATTTGGATGGATTGGACGGACCAACAAGACATTGGATTGGACCAATTCGGTCCAAAATATTTATTGGATTGGATTGGACTTGGTGTATCCATAATAAATTTATATTGAATTGAGTTTGATTAAGCAAATATCCGGTCTATTGATATAAAATAAGAATATATGTGTCAATAGACCAAGTTTGAGTTGAAATCAATCCAAATTGGTCCAAAACATTTATTAGATTGGATTAGACCTATTCCATTTATAATAGACTGGCATTAGATTGGATCGGATTGGACCAAATCCAGTCCAATTGACACTCCTACCACCAACAGAAATTAGTAACATACTCTTAGATTGATTCCAATTCAAACCTGATTCATTGAAATCTGTATTTGGTTCAATCCGACCCAATCTAATATAAATGCATCACAGATTAACCAGATTCAATCCAATCTAATAAAAACTTTGGACCATTAAGTCTAGAATGGTTCAATTCAATATGTCTAATAATTGATCCGTCCAATTTATCCAAATTAATTTTTATTTTGATGGACTTCAATCCAAAACGTGTCCATTGACACCCATACACTCACTTTCCAGGATGGTATTAAGGCTGGTGTAGACCATATCAGTCCACATCTGAATAGACTTTTCTCAAGTATATAAAAAAAATAAAATAATAAGAATTGGTAAACTTAATTATATCCATTTTATTAATTAGAATCTCTAGCTGAATATTGTGTGTTTCCTGAAACATAATTCTAAATATCAAATCAGAACATTCAAGAAACTATGTTTTTAGTTTCAGTTTTGAAAATAGAAAATAGTAACATTAACAATTAGAAAGATAAAGAAGTGAAACTTATTGGGTAAACCAAATTTTTTTAGTACTGAAGGTACCAACTAGCTATCTGAAAAAATCTCTATCTGGTTGTAGAGTGGCTTATATCTGTTGCAAAAAGAAGCAATAAACACTTTATTTAATTCTAAAAACATATTTGAACGACACATTTTTATATACGTATCCTTTTCTCTAGAAAGTAGAAAAATGAACTTTCAAAAGCGAAGCCATGACCCATGATTTTATCTATCATGATGCCGATGTAGTAAATTTAGATGCACAAGATTGGAAAAGCTAACCTTTTAGATTTTCTCTTGAGAAAAAAAGAATACAGTTTTTTAAAAAAGAAATTTTTAAACCAGTTTTCTCAAAACTAAGAAACTATTATCCTGCACAAAACCACTCCCTCCCCCTTACCAGTTACAGGTAAATTTTAAAGGAAAGGGTGATGCTGCAGAAATGGTCAAGGACAGAATCAATAATTAATTACAAATGAAATGTTATTTTCTTTGAAAGAATCAAATGATACAAAAGTCAAGACGAAGAATAAACTAATAATACAAGTCTATCGAGCCTGCTCTATTAATGAGATACCCATATCTACCAGACGTTCTAAGACACCAGACCAACGCTATCATCACTCATCAGGAACGACGATGGCTTTGGTTATGCTGATGATTCAACTCATTTTGTTGCGGCCAGTAATGGCGTCAGTGGCAAAGCCTGGATGCCAAGAGAAATGCGGAAACATCACCGTTCCCTACCCCTTCGGCTTGGACTACCCAGACTGTTACAGAGAWGGATACGACCTAACCTGCAATCATACTTTCAACCCTCCCAAGCTWTTCATATCAACTRGTAACCTGGAAATTTTAGAAATCTCGCCATCACTTACCCAATTGCGAATCTATGGCTTCATGGGAMACRRTTGCTACRATCGTTCAGGAAGTRAAACTGAGTCATGGTAYTMCTGGGTARATMTTGATRATTTGCCCTATACGTTCTCTGACACTCACAATAGATTCACTACAATTGGGTGCGACACTTKGTCCSAAATAACAGGCTCTGAAGGCCGGAATTTCACGAGCGGGTGTTMCATGGCTTGCAGCGACAAAGAAAGTGTGATCAATGGGTCTTGCACAGGTATCGGTTGTTGTCAGACCTCCATACCAAAGGGGTTCAAGAATTTCAATGTGAATGTTTGGAGCTATGAGAACCACACCCGTGTCTGGAATTTCAATCCCTGCAGCTATGCTTTCTTGGTGGACTATGACTGGTACAGATTCTCAGTAGAAGATCTCTCGCATTTCTACGAAAGATATGGAGATAGTCTCCCACTCGTCCTGGACTGGGCAATAGAGAACGAGACCTGCGAAACTGTTTCAAGGATATACCCTTCTTATGCTTGCGGCAAGAACAGCGATTGCTATAATTCTCCCAACGGTCTCGGATATCTTTGCAACTGCTCTCAAGGTTACCAGGGCAACCCTTATCTCGAGGATGGATGCCAAGGTAATCTACTAGATCTGTCTTCTACGTACATGAATGCTTTACAAAAATTTGATTATATATATACTGTGGTCGTCTAATCTAGTGACCGATCGGAGTTGTCATAAATGAATTGTAGACATAAACGAATGCGCATATCCAAATAAAAATGACTGCCAGGGGATTTGCCATAACACGCCTGGGGGTTACTATTGTTCCTGCCCTCCTGGTACAAAAGGCGATGGAACAAAGAACGGATCTCCTTGCATTGCTCCACCAACAAAATTTCCGGTGATACAAACCGCCGTAGGTAACGAGTTCTACGCTAGATAGCTAAAGTATTCCTTTATATATTACTTCCGAATAAAGTGATCTGACTCCAAAATCGCCCAACATAACCTCTGCATGGGCTTGATAGATGGTGAGATGAAATGGAGTTACCAACATAACCCCAAAAAAGACATAAGTAAATTGCACTCTGTTTGGATAAGCTCTTGTTTCTAACTCTGAGCTGTGAAAAAACAAAAGGTTTGGTAATAATTACTTTTCAACGTCTTATAATTTAAAGCAAAAAAAAAACTCTTTTTTTCTCCAAAGCACAAAGCCTAAAACCAGGACTTTGTGCATAAAATACAAATCCCTAAAGCTTATCCAAATGGCGGATCTGGATCTCCTGAAAGCAAAAGCTGTGAGGACATTCTAAGAGAATGGCATCCAGCCGCACGTCTGTTTAATAAATTCATGGGGAGATATTTTGCATGTGTAATTAGATGTCAAGAGTTTTGCACAGTTTTTGCTTTCAGGAGTCCCGTCTCATTTAACTGTAACCTAGATTAATTACATGAACAACGATATGGGGTAACGATCTCTGTTAATTATTCACCGGCACCCATATGACTGTGAGCCCGCGCTTATGCATGGATTTCGCCAAATCCGCAACGGGGTGGATGGAAGCGAGCCCAGATTTCCTACAAACTTCTCCTATTCACTTTCTACCCGCGGTGAATTGGAGCCCCATATCTCTTAATTCATAATAGAGTGTGTGGCTCCAATTCAAGGCGGGTCGAGAATAGATAGAAAAAGTGAGTAAGAAATTCTGAGTGGGTGGGAGCATCCAAATAATTATATGACTGATAGTTTAAATAGGGATAGTAAAATTATGTAGGATTAGGCATAAGTTTGAGTTTTGACCTTAGCACACCTGATACTCAAATCTGACGTGTATCTATTATGTGGAGGATTAGAATTTAATAAGGGTTATTGTAGTATTAATTGTCTTATGTCACTCCAAATTAATTTTATTTATTTTTCAACGTTTTATTTTGTACACTGGATGTTGATACTCTTGTTGTTCTTTCACACTCGTTGTTTGCCTTTTAGTCTGGGCCCTATCTCTTTTGATGGCTTGTGGCCTTGAGTTGGGTTTCTTTGGTGTGCTGAGTTAGGATAGTACTTCTGTCCTATTTAGGTTACTTTTTTCTTTGGGTGGTTTTTTTGGTTCTAGCCTTTGTAGAGGCTTGAAGAGGTCTCTGAAGGCCTGCCTTGTCTTGGAGCTTGGCGATAGAGGCTTGTAGAGGCCTCAATTGTATACAACTTGTATACCTTTTATGGGCTTTCAATAAAAATTTACCTTACCTTA